GGTAATTAGGAGCGAGGGGGGGTAACTGGGAATGGCTGTGGGGAATTGGTGTAATAGGGAGCAGGGGGGCAAAAGCAATGGGAGTAACTGGGGCAGCGGAGCAGGGGTAGGTGAGGAGCAACTGGGAGGGAGGAGGGGAAGTGATGGGGGTAACTGGAGTTGGAGAGTGGAGGGTTCTGGGGGGATTGGTGTGATTGGGAGTGGGGGGGCAAAAGCAGTAGGAGTAACTGGGAGTGACTGGGACAAGGGTAAGTGAGGGGCAACTGGGAGGGAGGAGGGGTAGCAGTGGGGGTTACTGGAGTAGCAGAGTGGGGGGTAATGGGGTAAGTGGCAGTGACGTGGAAATGGGAGTAATGGGGATCGTCTGGGGCTGCTGTTTGGGGGTAAATGGGGGGGTAAATGGTGGTAACTGGGAGCAAGCAGGGTAGGTGTGGGAGTACAGGGGAGTAACTGGGAGCAACTGGGGCCTCCTGCAGCATGGCCCAGGCCCAGCAGCGCTGCTCTTGGTTACCCCCATGGTGCTGGCGACGCGGGGACTTCATATCGGCTCATCCAGCATCCCGTCCCTCCGAAAGGGGCCTCCTCCCCTGCCAGAATAAGCTTTAGGATTTCTCCTTCGCTGGGCTCCGTTGGTGTGTTCTGGACAGAGGCAGGTTCTGGCCACCCCACTCCAGTGCGTTGGCGCTGCTGGAGGCGGGACAGCTGCAGAGACCCCTCCAAGTGGCCCTCGTCTCAGGGAGCGATGGCACCCGGCCGCAGGTCGGATCCCGTGGGATGCCCGGGACGCGCACACCAGCTTCCCATGACGGCTGTGCGGGCCTGGAGCGTGCGCTGGCGGTGCGAGCTCCGTAAGCTCCTGCCCGTGGTAGTTCCCCGCTTGAAAAATTAGGATTTACTTACAGTGCAGCCAGGCAGTACTGTGAGAGAGATCTCAGGAGAGAACCGGCTGTCGCTCCCGATTGCTGGCATTGCTGTGCTGGGAATGGGCGTGCTGGGCTAGAAAAGGAGGCCAGAGATCCGTGAGCAGCAGGTAGGCTCGTGGGAAGCACATTTTACATGGAGAAGGGCTGTTCTTCCTGCCCGTCTGCTGCTTCCCTTTCTGTAGCACTCGTTTCTTGTACCTGTTCCTGGCCTCTGGTGGGTACTGTTAGTGTGACTGGCAATAGCTGTAGCTTCCCCGCAGGGGATGCCACTCATCTGTATGCTCTGTTATAAAGTCTTCTATGAATAATCTGCACTTCAGGATTTTGCTTTATTTATTTATTTATGTTGCAAAGCACTCACACTAACTAATGTCGCGGCACTTCTTTGACCAGAAGTTATGTTTGAAGAGGCTTTTAGATGGCTTTGCGAATCTAGGAGGTCCTGGCTCTCGATGGCCCCAGCTCCTGCTATAAATGCAGCTAACGAGGTTTATTTCTGGCAGGTCTGATGGTTTTTTACCTGTTTCAGTAGCTGAGGGCTCTGTGTGTGCCCATGATGAGAGGTTATATGACTTGTAAAACTCCCGGGCTAGCAGACTACAGTATTGCTGCGTTGTTAACTTGTTTTCATTGCTGCTTATTATACTTCTTCATTAGTGTGGGATGACGATAGCTTTCTGTGCTCCTTCTCCTGATTTGCATGATTTTGGCTAGAAACAAAATTTTAGAAGCCGTTTTTCGGTCCAGCTGGTCTCTGTGTTGTCTTCCACGTGTGCGCTTGGTAGCAAATGTTGCCCTCCCCTCCCTCCCTCATCTCTGTATACTGTTATTAATGGATGTTGGAGAAGAAAATGTGTACCATTTTGTTCCAGGCTTTTGTTAGTAACAGAGTGCTGAGCTTTTTGATTGAAAAATCTGTCTCTCAGATACATCTATTAGTAATTGTTTGTTTTACTGCAGGAGCCCTGTTGATAGTTGAAAGCTGGTTTGACGTGTGTGCAGCACAGATGGCTGGTGCAGAGGCAGTGTGGGGTAACAAAATACAGGAAGCTGGAACAAGAGACCTGCTTTCCTATTTGATATGACTATTCTGTCACTTTGGACACATGGTCTTAAGTCCCTGGCATCCGAATAATTCTTTTATTGGTAGTGTCAAGTGCTGTACCTGACTTGATTTTTCCTGATTTAAATCAACTACCCAAATAAATCCCTTCTCTAATGAATAAAGGCATATGTTGAAATACTTTTGAGGGCCTTAGCACTGTTTTTTATTATAGATGTATGGAAACAGGTTATCAATAACTGAATGTTATGTTCCCCTGTCTCTCCTTCATCTTGCCCCAAGGTAATTTCTTCACAGGATGTGGATTTATACAGTTCCTTCCCCCAAAACAGTATATGGAGAACTAGGTCTTCACAAGCGAGACTTGTTCTAAAGCGGAAACACAAACACAACCATGAGTATTTTTTTCTATTTCTTTTAGATTGTTGTTTCTAAAAACGCTCATATGAGGATGATTTAGCCCTGGATTGAACACGACTTTAATATGATGACTAAGCTAGTAATAATGTAAACCTTCTACAGGTGCTGAAAACAGTCAGCCTGCTGAATAACCAGCCACGGAAAGGGTAAAGAATTTGAGGAAAAGCTCTGTGGATATGGTGAAATACCAAGCAGAAGACCAAAGCTTGTGCTGAATGAACAGTTTGTTGGTCTATTGTTCTAAGTAGCTTCTGTTCATTTAGATTTAATACAACAGGCTGTGTAAATGTAAACTTAATAACATTGAATCAAGGGCTGTGCTTGGCAGAGAGTTTCTATTTCCTCTAGATGAAGAAGCAAATAAAAAGAAAACTGAAAGCAAAACCTAAGACTACTACCTACATGCGCCAGCTCCTCGGAAACTCAAGAATGCAGAAAGCTACTATTCAAAATATTCTCTTGAGGTTCACACTTTTTGCATGGCAAGAGCAAGTCGAATCTCCAGAAAACGTAGTTAGATTGTTAGGAAAAGCAACTA